TCGCCTGCGCCCGTGCCGAAGAGAATGACCTTGCCGTTGGGCGACCACTCCACCTGCCGCAGTGGCGTCTTCAGCTCTTTGCCCCACAGCCGGTTGCCGTCAACCCCGCCAACAATCACAGCGCCGTCCTGCAGTTGGGTGGTAAGCGTGGTGAGCATTGTGACGATTGGACAGTGTGGGTGACGAATTGTGGGATGCAAACAAATGAAGCAGTAGACCGGCTTAGACACGCTCAGGCTGGGTTGGACACGTACACAGCAGACGCTCGATAATGAACAAACACACACAACAAACACAACAATGGTTAACTTACACAAAGACGATCAACACACACACACATTTGCAGGCACACAAGCACATATGCAAGCACATAGTGTGTACCTCGTAGACGATGCAGATTTTGCCACCGTCAGAGTTCCATTTCATGTCGGTGACGACGCTCTTGTTGCGGTTGTTGATCATCTCCTCGTACCATTGGCCCTATGAGTACATGGACGTGGCAAACGTGCCATGTTAACAAGGGTGAATGACGCGCGTCAGTGTGACACAACCCATCAACAACAGAAGCGAAGCAAGACGAACACCCGACCCTTCTTGTGTACGCTCCGAATTTGGTTGTGTGTGTGTTTTGTTTTTGTTATTGTTGTTGTTGTTGTTGTGTGTTTGCCAGCACCGTGCAACACAGCGCACCTTGTAGAGCATCCAGACGATGATGAGGCCGTACTGATCACTGGTGGTGAGCTTGCGGTAGTGCTCGTTCCACGTGATGACCTACAGACGCATGGAAAGGGAAAGGGATAGGTGTCACGGCAAGAAGGCAAGAAAGGTCGCAGCAGCAGTTCGTGTCGTGTGTGTGTGTGTGTGTGTGTGTGTGTGTGTGTGTGTGTGTGTGTGTGTGTGTGCGTGTGCGGTTGTGTGTGTGTTCAAACGTGAGCAAGCTCCAGGACTGCTACCCTCCCCCCCCAGCCACACCTTGACGGCGCCGTTGTGGCCTTCGAGCGTCTGGTTCATGCTGAGGTTGCTGCGGTTGTTGCCCTTCTCAGAGTCAATCTTGATGATCTTCAGGAGACCTACGGCAGAGACAAGCGGCGCAGGGAAGTACACGCACGACGGAGCGTGAGTGGCAAACGACATCAAACAGGCACCACAAAAGCCAAACAACCGATTGGACACAACACGCACGCACACGCACACGCACACGCACGCACGCACGCACACGCACGCACGCACGCACACGCACACGAGGCTTCTTGTCTTCCCACCCCAAATTACACAGCTACACAAACACACACACACAAGCAAAACAAACCTTCGTCGCCACCGCAGGCAATCCAGCCATACTCTCGGTTCCATGAAATGGCATCCAGCGGGATGGGGTTGGGCAAGGCAACCTTGATCTTCTTGCTCAAGTAAATGAACATGCTTGGTGTTGGTGTCTCCTTCGTCCCTCACCACTGCTCTCCAACTCCAACACAGCTCCTCAACTCAACTCAAAAAGAGAGTAGTGCCACCACCAGGTCCCTCTTCACAACAACAACAACAACAACAGCACCAAGCAGAGAGCAACTGTCTGCACGTCAACCGTTGTTGGCTGTTGTTGTCTGCGTTCGTCTTTGCTTGGTTTTTTGGTTGTAGATTATTGTTGGCGATTATTGTCGACCATTTTCACACAATTTTCCGTAGCGTTTTGGCCGGAAAACCAAGCGCAGCGCAAAGGAGAAGAAGAGAGAAGAGCAACACAGCAGCAGCAGAAGGGGAGGCAAACAACACCCACCCCCACTTCATCATCGCCACCTGCCACACCCATCTCTCTTTGTCTGGTCTGGTCTGGTCTCGTTTGCAGACACGCCACAGAGAGAGAGAGAGAGAGAGAGAGAGAGAGAGCAAGCAGGAAGCGAGGGCTGGAGCTGGACGAAGCAAACAGCCAGGAGAAAAGGGGGTTGGTTTTTGAATTGAAGACAGTGACAGCCGACAGCAGCGTTGCTGTGTTGCAGTTTTGCTGCTGTACGCACACAGCCTAGAGTGTTGTCCTGATTGATCGATTCCTGCAGTAGCCCGCTGTCACGCTCTACTCGACGCTGGCGCGCAGTCATGGGAAACAAGGCGTCAACAGAACTCAAGCCCTTGCCAGGGGCACCACCACACCCCAACTCAGGTATGAAACCTGCTGTTGTTTGTTGTGCGTTTGTACAGTGTTGTGTGCTGGTGTGTGTGTGTGTGTGTGTGCTGGTGTGTGTGTGTGTGTGTGTGTGTGTGTGTGTGTGTGTGTGCTGGTGTGTGTGTGTGTGTGTGTGTGTGTGCTAGTGTGCGCGCGCGTTGGTTGTGAATGTGTGTTGAACGTTGTCAACAGTGTGCGGCATTACTTTGTTGGGACGCGGACGGGCCTGGAGTCTGGCTGCATGACGGCGCGCTCCGCAAGGAGGCGGCGGTGCTCGTAGTCAATGTCTGGTGGCGGCGCAGTCAACCACACCACACCTAGGAGTGAGTAGCCGTAAAGAGCTAAAACCTCACCGATTGGTCTCTGCTGATACTACTAGCTTCAATATGTCGAATTGAGCACCGAGTAGGCGCGGGCTCAGTGGTCCGCTTGAAACGTCCCGTTACCCAGCGCTACACTGAGACGAGCTTGCCCACGCGTTACCTGGATCGATGCCGTGCGAGTCGAATGTTGAAGGGGGTAGGGTTAGGCAGATAGTAGCTCATCGGTAAGAGAGCTGTCTTATGAGCAAGTCGGGAACAATAGTGTGAGAACATTACAACTTGCCAGGCGGATCTCAGGTGGAGCAGTAGATCTCGTTACCTCAACGATATCGATTACGATTAAGCGCATGCGAGGCAGAAGCGGACGCAGATGACTGGTCCCTCTCGTAGTGTCATGGAGAACTAGGGCGAGTTTGCCCCTATGCTCTCCGCCTACGTTTCTCATAGACTCATAGATTTAACCCCGGTCCGGCTGATAAATCAGCGGACCACTCGATATACTGACCATGCGTTGCACAGTTTATCATTGTGAGTCCGTCGTGTGAAATGGTCGTACTGTACTCGTCCACACACACACACACACACACACACACACACACAAGTCACACACACACACACACACACAAGTCACACACGTTCTCATACACACATACAATCACACACACGCACACATCGCTTACACGCACACAAATGCATACAAAACACACGCATACACACACAACTAAACGTGCGCACAAACTGTCAACTACCCACATCCCACTCTCAACCGGCTTCATCTTCTCCCCCCCCCCCAAATGCAGTGCACGACCGATGCGAGGCAACCTGTACCGGCCTGCCTCCGTCCAACCTGTCCAGCCACAGAACATCTATATTCAGCGTGACACTGCAGGCTCGCTCGGCTTCTCCTTCTCCTCAGCGAGACGCGTGAGTGGCGCTGTCCTTACCGTACTTTCGTGTGTGTGTGTGTGTGTGTGTGTGTGTGTGTGTGTGTGTGTGTGTGTGTGTGTGTACGTTCATGTATGCACGTGACGTGACGTGACACACACACACAACCAAAACGTCGTTTGGTGCGTGGCTGCTGCCCGTTTGAGCGTCACTGTATGCTTCCCGCGGCCTCCCTCCCTCCCTCCCTCCCTCCCTCTTGCGCTCACTGGAAACCCATCTACCATCCCCTTGTCGCCACTTTCCTGCTTGCCCCGCACGCACACGCACACGCACACGCACTGCGCGCTGTTCGCGGTTGCACAGACCATCCACTATGTGAGCTCGGTTGATGCTGGTGGCCCCGCGGAGAAGGCAGGGCTCTCCGTCGGCCACCACATTGTCGCCGTCAACGGCAACCTCGTCACCAACGTCTCACACGAGCAGGTACGCGCGTGTCGAGTGTGTGTGTGTGTGTGTTTGTTTGTGCGCGTGCGCGCGTGTGTGTGTGTGTTCTGAGTGTCTGTGTTTCTGTTCATCGACCTGCTCGCGCGCCTACTTGCTTGTGCATTCATATGCGAGTGTTTGTTTCCCGTTTTCGTACTGTGGCTTCCCCCCTCCCCTCACTCTCCCCATCACCACGCCGCCAACCAACCCCACCCCCTCCAACTCTCCATCACCGCAGGTTGTTGTGCTGCTGCAGAATGCGCCTGCGACGAAACCGCTGCAGCTGAAAGTTCTGCCGACCAACGACCGCATCCAGCGCTATCTCCGCCACGCCGGCAGCCGCAGTCCATCCGTCCTCTACTCCCCAACTTCACCCGTCAACGTACGTGCTGACGTGTGTGTGTGTGTGTGTGTGTGTGTGTTCGTTTGTGTTTGTGTGTATGTGTGTATGTGTGTGTTTGGGGGTGTACACGCATGGTCTTGTACAATCACAACGTCCCACACGCTCACACCATCCCCCAACATGACCCGCAATCACACGACATACCACCATACTTACAACAACAACCCCATCACCACCCTTGTTACATTTGGCCAGGGCTCTCCGCGGGTGGCGTGGGGCGCGTCGGGCGGATCACAGCCGTTCCACCGCAGCTTCTGCGCCATTGTCTTCAACCCATCCACAAACCTCTACCTCGCAGCCGCAAAGCAGGTGTGTGTGTGTGTTCATGTGCATGTGTGCGTGTGTGTAGTTTGTTCTGCGTCCCAATTCCCGCCTCCGCTTCACTTGCTCATGCGCATTGACACACGTTCACATGCACACTCACTCGCCATCACTCACTCACTCCCACACACTCCCACACACAAACACACACATACACACACACTCTCTCTCTCACTCACGTACACTCACTCGCCATCACTCAAAACTACCCCATCAACGTGCTGCCCGCCACCAGGGGAGCGGGTTTGACGCGATTGTCGGGGACGTCGCTGCTGATGCGTCGTTCGAGGACGCGGCACACATGCTGCTGGCACAGGAACTCAACATCCCTGCACAGCTCAAGGGCATCCTTCGCTTTGAAATCAGCTCCCTTGCCCTGCGGGTCGTCTTCCTCGTCCACACCACAGGTGCCCCATCGCACAAGGGA